CTAAATTATTCGATTGTGAATCTTTTATGTCACTGTTTGTAAAATATTAGGTGAAAATATTTGGAAGAAAAAATAATTTTCAGATAACTTGATAACGTAATAGCTGAATGATTTTTTTTAAAAAAATAATTTTCAGATACCTTGATAACGTAATAGGTGAATGATTTTTTTCGTAAAATATTTTATTTTGATAAAACAATATAATTTTTAAATATGTTGATGGAATGTATTTTTATTTTTGAACTTTATAGTTTCAAAATGATTGATGAATAAAAAAAATATTTGACATTTGGCATCTTAAAAAAATATCACTACAAATATTAAATTTATATTTTTTAGCTTTAAAAATTCACTTGGGGTGCATTATGCATGATTTATTGTATTTCGAGGGTGCAAAGTGCTATTAATTTATTTCGAGGGTGCAAAGTGCCAAAATGGTATATTTCAAGGGTGCAAAGTGGAATTAAGCCTTATAAATAGTATACTGAAAGTAGCAATTCTTATCTCGTGAAAAAGGAACATGTCTTGTCGTATACAATAATTAATCGATAATCACCCCAACTACTTTTCCTAATTAATTTGTAATTTTTGCATTTGGTAAGAAAAATAAGTTGACCAATTATAGAAATATTATTTTAGAAAAATAAGTTGACCAATTAAATATCTTCTCAATAAATTGGTTTATAATAATTATGATTATTAGTATTTAAATAGCCAGCTCCAACAATATATAAAGTAATATTCTAATAACTCTAAAATATTAAATTTAAAATTCTTCATATTTTTTCACAAATTCAACTCGCAACAATTTACATGGATTGCCTATATACTGAGGGGTAAAACGTAACTTATCAGATTCATACATATGCATGAGTCTGATAAGTTACGTTTTATATCGTACTATAGTTAAACCTCTATAAATTAATATATTCGAGATTAGTAAAATTATATTAATTTAATACATTTTTACATAGTCGGGACCAAGAGAAATTATTATGTAAATAAAGGTTAATTTATCGATGTCCTACTATACAAGAAGAAGAAAAAAATGCATAATAGATTAACCCATAATAGAAAAATTAACATTAATTGCATAAATTAAATAACAAAAAAATATCTATATATATAGTTACCACAATGACACACAGGCTTAATGCATGGCTTTTGTTAGAGAATATTATATTATAGAATTCTCCTAATATTAGGATTCTAGTATGATTCGGTTACCTAGATTAGTTAGGATTTAGTTACCTAGTCAAACTCTATTACCTTGCAATATTTCTCTATATATATTCCATGTAATCAACCCATAACATAATGGGGGTTTCTATTCTACATATTATTATTTCTCTTCTTCTCTATTCTTCCTATATGGTATCAGAGCACCAGGTTTAGGTTTTTTTTAACCTAGCCGCCTTCCTTCTCCATGGCGGTGAAAACCTAGCCGCCTTTCTTCTCCATGGCGGTGACCACCCGATTTTCTCCCTCCCCCGGTGGTGGTACTCTAATATTTTTTTCTTTTTTTTTTTCTATCTTTTCCACGAACACCACCCAATTTTCTCCCTCCCCCGGTGGTGCATCTTCTCTATCTCTTTCTTCTTCTTCTTATTCTTCTTCTTCTTCTTCTTATTCTTCTTCTTCTTCTTCTCCATGGCTTAAAACCTAGCCGCCGCCGCCT